AACTGGTTTATTCTTTCTGAATATAACTTTGCGATACACTTAATTTCTAACAGTCGCGCTATAAAAAACGACTATAATTCAAACGAACGTCTCACGTGCTCAACAATATTCTCTCTGACTGCAGTTCAATTACCCATCATTCCGTCACGTTGTGACCGTCTTATATATATACAAGACTAACACATCACTAGTAAATGCTAGAGCATTCACGAAGGAACAGGATATTTCTGGAAGGACGTGGCGTGATACTAGTCACGTGACCTCGCTGACGCAACAATATGTTAGAGAGAGATAAACAATTTCATAAGAGGTAAGGAGAATAAGTTGTCTCATCAAAGGGTGTTCCAATGTAATTGAACCATCCTGAGTGGACTTTAACAAAAGGCAGACAATTCTTGGAAATACGAAAAAGGAGCAGACAATTTTTGAAGTAAAGGATACAACCACAGTAACTCAATGACAACATACGTGATCTATACATGGATAGTTTGGCGATAGAAATAGAGAAAAATAGTTCAGCTTGTCAACTGAATTCTAAAGGAATTGAATAGGCCTAAGTGGACTTTTGACAAGAAGAAAACTATATAGTGTTTATGATATAACTATGATCTCCATAGTGTAAGGGATTCCTGTATGTACATTTAACTTGTTATGAATATATATATATTATTTTGAAATCAAGTTGAGTGTGTGTTGTTCATTTATTTTTTTGGATTTATTGCTAACAAGTCACAGACACCTACTGCAGAAGAATCCTTAGCCTAACACACCCACATATTTTAACTTACAATATATAATATAAGAAAGTAAGTTCCTGACATAATTAAATATTTCTATTTCTTAAAGGATGCACAAATAATTAATTTATTTCATGCAACAAGCCATTTGTTAGGAAATAATTAATTTTGGTTATTAGAAACTATTTTAAAATGATTTAAACTGTTAATAGTAATATATCCACATACCAGTATGTTCCAAAATCATAGCAAATAACAAACCTCAAATAACTTAGCAGTGTTAATATCAAAACTGCTATGAATAAAGACTAATAAAAAAATTACATGATAAAAGAAACTCAATCTTTGTTCCAAAATTATAGCAAATAACAAACTTCATATAACTTAACAGTTTTAATTTCAAAACTTCAATTCAATGTTATATAGAAAACATTCCTGAAATAAGTTTCATAATTGTGAGACATATACATATTTTAATTTCAAATATAATCTTAAATGATACATTAATTGATAATAATTCCTTAAGTTTTATTTTAGATTATGAAATAATAATATCAAAGATTAAGGTAACATTTTTCACTCTGTGCATTGCATCTGTTAACTTGCACTGTCAAAAGTTATATACCAAATCCAGGTTGCATCTACAAGTATACGTGTACTATCAAAAAAATGAATCATATTGTTTCCATAAATAAAAATATATAATATAAAAACATTTTCCTTACCTGGATATTTATTTCCAACAGATACTCACCTCCTAACACAGATTTAGCTATCTTCCTCACTCATCTGCCAAAGATATTTGCAGGCCACTAGCCTTGAGGCAACTCCCACCTAATTTCATGTGAATTGTGCTACTTGTGGTGACATAATCATGCGACAAAACCCTCCACCAAAAGGCAACACACCTACACGCACAATAACTCCCCCTATTTAAATGCAAACTTCATTCCTTGATGAGGCAATGAATAAAATGTGTACTAGAATTAGGTAGGATGGATGTAAATGTGTATGGATATGAGTATCTATTGGAGATATATTTTCACGTAAGTAAAATGTTACCTTCTGAGATGAAACCTCACCTCTTTACACAGACTTAGCTAAAATCCCATGCTGAATTGGTGTCAATTTTAATTAGATAAGCTCCCTTCAGAAAGCACCCAAAAGATGCTTATTGGGTGTGACATCTATGGCAGGGGCACCATCAGGGCACACCAGTGTGAGACTGCATCTTGTCTCATCCAGGGTATATTCTTTGCCTGTATAAGAAAAATGAAATGAAGCAAAGAAGACAAACTTGTGTGACAGGAATGGGCAAAAGGTGAACATGACCATACAAGTACTTGTCAGTCAGCTAATATGTGTAGTTTGGTTGGAGTGCACTCAGACTGTACATTGTGTGCACATGATAACCTTACCATCATTCTTTGAGACAGACTTCAGCTGTGGGAGGAGGACACATGCAATAAGTATCTGTGTGCTCATCCCGCCTCTATCATCAGATTCTATTGAGTAAACTTCAGCTGTGTGTATGTGTGTGGGTGAGGGGGGTTACATTCCATATGTAATATGAATACTTGTGAATGCCTCAACTCAACCACCAGACTCTATGGGACAGACTTCAGCTGCAAAAGGAGGGTACATTAATGATTCATCAAAAAGTCACACAGTGTATGCACACCTCAACTCTGCTGTCAGACTCTACAGGAACTGACTCCAGCTGCAGGGGGAGGGCAGTATAGTAATGGAATACGGACCAGTATAAAGTGTGTTCATCTTGACTCTATTGAACAGACACTGACTGTAAGAAGAGGACATATCAAATATATAATATATATAGATAGATAACAGATACTGAAAGGTGAGTGCTTACCACAGATCAACAGGGCAGGTTCTAATCTGTCGAAGGAGAGTACAATATTATATATATTATTGGTCCATATGTAATATGTGCACACCTGAACTCCACTGAAAGACTCTGGCTGCAGGAAGAAGGCACGACTGGTGTATGTGATGTATATGACAGATGACCTATACTACACTAACCATGTCACCATCACCTCAGCTCTCACTGTATTGGTACTACTTGTATATTGCCCCAGCATCTGAGTGAAAGGGGTGAGGATTCCCAATCTCCACCCTTTTAAATATTATCAGTAGACTAGTGAACCCATGGGCCTATGGCCCATATTTAAAGGGCTGCTATAATGAAAATTTAATGCTTGAACCCATTATGCACTTTTTTCAGTTTGATGATCATTGACACTATAATGAAAATTTAAATTTCTTTAATCAAGTTAGAAATGGTAAATAGTAGGCTTTCTTATTCATATGTCAGGAATGCCATATTTGGGGTCTGCTTTCTGGGAATCCCGGTAAGTGTTTTTGCAAAATACCTGGGTTCCCTAAGGGGTTGGGTAAAAAGTATTACTTTTGTGCAAACCTCGGGGCTGAGACAATTCATTTGGCACTATTTCAAAGTTCTTGAGTCCAGCAGTTCAGGAGAAGAGGCTTAGGGGAA